GTGAGACAAAACAATAAGCGTGTATATATATATATATATATATATATATATATATATATATATATATATATACACGCTTATTGTTTTGTCTCACGATTTCTCCGAGAACCGGAGATTGCATAGTGTGATCTAACAAACAGACAAACGGCGCTTGGACGCGGTCGCAATCATTCGGGGTACCGATAAGCTTGAACCAGTTTGCTTGACTGCTGCTGATACTGGCGAAGAAAAAAATCTGAGTGAATTGGTCCAATCCTACCGATTCGCGTGTTTGTATGTCCCATGGGACAGACTTACACATAAGCATCTACGACACTACTCAATCGAGTAAGCAAACAGAAGCTGGCCTCCCGCGGATGCAGCCCCGACCCCGAAGTCCCACGCACCACCTGCAGTGCTAACCCGAACGCAGGGTGTGTGATAAGCTGACAGCAGATGCGTATGCTTGAATCCCCAGACCTCGGACATATTCTATACTCGAGCATGTAGATTCTGATAAGCACGCGGATGGTAGACAAGGACGACAACAGCAACAACAGTCACTACAGCAACAACAAAAGCCAACAGAGATCAAAGTAACACACTCAAGACAAAAGCTGAGTAAGTCGGCCAGAGCAAAACGTAGAAGCATCTAACCGAATACCAAACAGATCAGAGAATTTAAAAGCACTCGACCAATAACTAATCAGTTCTTCGACGTGTACACACAGTGACTGAGGGAACGAAACCAAGATGAGTAGAAACAGGAAGAAAAAAATCGGTCACTGATGAAACGTTAACTAGTTTTCCGACAGAGACGAAAAGTGAAATTAACAAATAATAATAGTAATGTGACCATAACAACACAATACAGAACAACATTCATGGACCGACGATACAAAATCTAGGACAATCATACATCGGATGAGACTGTTTGGGTTGAATACAACTAGACCCTACAGCGATAGGTGGCCAGGCCCATTAACAAATAGATGAATGTAACACAAAGAATAACTTGTGATGTTGCAGACCTGTTCCGAGCATTAAGCAGAGAAAACTTGTATTGAAACAACCCCACAAGGAGATAAAGCAAAGTGAAGGTAGCATAACTTATCGGGGCCTTAGGTGGTTCGTCACTCCAAGTCCCGTAGGGCTTAGGTTACCAGTTTCCATCACAGAACAGCAGGTCTTCGTGACTATGGAGTCTACCCCGTCTGCTGTTCATCACACGAAAGTGTGTAATAAAAGCACCGGTAAATAGATAGGAAAAAGCACAACGAGATCAGTTGTTTGCGTAGCATGTGAACGGGACATGGCTATCCCGAGGAATCGGTTAACAAACTCAGCAGACTGAAGAATGAAAAGCCCGTTGTTGTGTCAGTGTCTAGATTAGAGATCACGATTTTTCCGCCATTGAAAGGTGATGATATTAACTAGTCTAACCCAACAACGGTTACGATCGGTTATCAATCGGACTTATTACGCAACCAAACCCAGAATTGTGCACAAGACCAGGAGTACACCCGCTGACACTCAACAATCGGCCACGGTTCGTACCTGATACCATCTTGACGGAGAATGAGACGATAACTGAAATGCTGAACAGACTTTCTGCTTAACTATGAGATTAGGTTTTTTATCAGTGAAAAACCATTGCTTCATATTTTGCTGTAAAAAAGCCAGATAAAAAAATTCTTAAAGACTTTCTGTACCGAATCAACAGTAATAGCTTCATACATATAATGACATAAGCCAGCTAACGTTGAGTTTCGTTAAGGGTAGACATGTAGTTCCCGTGGATAGAAGAAGCACATAAACAGTTGCCATCCGTCAGCTTGATGATTCAGGAGGGAATGCCTACACTGAAGTATAGCATACTAGCTAGCAAGATAATATGATTATTCGAATGCGAAAATTACCCCCCCCCCTCCCAAAAAAAAGAGATCGGATAAGCGAGAATGGGCTCACGTACAAGTGACGATAACACGGCCGGTGAGGACCATGTGGAAGAGGCAGACGAGAAGCGTTCATCATACGTGGTGAACTGGTCTGGTGGTAAAAATCCGGGAATGAGGTTGTTGTTGCCCGTGGAGAACGGTGTGCCGTAATAGCATTCCGAATTGGACGAACAAGAATCCGAGGAAATGTGATGATAGAGTGGTGGTGCCCCAACGTCGAATCGACCTACCATATCGGTCATATCATACAGACCAGCGGCGGCAGAAACACCACTACCACCACCACTAGCACCGTTACTAACACCGCAGGGCAGAAGCAAGTGGGCCGAAGAAACATCTGAAGTTAAGCGACCGGGTGAAGTTGGTCGACCCCGACTGTCCATATTGACAAATGAGTCAGTGGTCATCGTTTGTGACCAATCGGCAGGACTGAGGGGCGCTGTTTGTAGATGCGCTTTCATACAGGAACGAAAAGTATCCACATTCATGGAAAGTTTTTCGATATGATCGTGAGGTGGATGGCGTGGCATGTGAGGTACAGAATGGAATATATTGCACAACACACTGTGTCGAAACAATCAATGCAGAACAATCCGTGTGACGATTCGACAGCGGCAATTTGTGATAATTGGTCGAGTTTTGCCAAATAAGTCACAAAGATGAACAGTACGAGATTTACACAAATTCCATTCATGTAACCACTCTATCAGGATTTTGACTGCATAATACACGCCGTCTCCTCAGTGCACATAAACGGGAATGACAAGTGATAAAACGGACCAGTACTACGGGTACAGTTGGGACAGTGTGGTTTCGGATGAACGATTCGCGATCAGATGCGTGTTTGTGCTGTCTCCACGCTCGGACGTTTATCACCGGATTTTGCGCATCCGACGTGCGGACGGGCGAATGATGTCGGGGAAACAAGCGCGAGCGAGCGAGTGTGTGCGCGCGCGCGCGCGCAGACGCACGCAGATGCGTGCGTGTGTGTGTGTATGTGCACCCACNCCCACCGGTGGGTCTACGCGGCTAATGGCATTTTTCTCGTGCAGCGTGACAATGGCGCTTGTCACCGGCATCGCGCGGGGCGTGTGCGTAAAGCATGGACGGGCAGGCGGAGCGAAAGAAACTATAGCTCGTCTACGCACACACGCACGCACGCATGCGCGCCCACTGACCTGATAGGCTAACAACTATAGCTGCTGCTGCTATGGCTGGCACGGATTGGCAGTCACGCTCGGAACCGAACGCAGATCGGACCTGCCTGCCTACCTGCGTTCGTCAATCTCCCTCGCTCCTATAATGGTCGGACGCACTTAAGGCCCCTCGGGTCTCGACCGATAGGACTTCACTCCACCCGCGGCTTGAGACAAACGCAATCAGAATGGCGGGAGCAGGAATGAGGAATGCTAGCTAGTAGGAGTAAAGGAGATGATGCCCACGTGACGCAATACACAGTCA